AGAGATTGGTCCCAGTTCTCTGTAAATTGTATCAAACGCTGCATGGAATATCCAAATGATGTTGTGGACATTCCTACGTAGATTTGGATATATTCCATCCAGTCGTCTTTCAAGACGAGCAGATAAAAAACACTAAACTAATTGAGTTTCTTTTTTTCCACGTTTTTAGTTAAGACATTAAACCATCTTGACACCATTTGCCGTAAGGATCACTGAAAAACACTTTGAGTTATTCAACTAGAACGAGAACAGATTAAAATTGTTTTGTGTCATCTCCATTGTCTTCTCAACTGAGCAATGTTGAGAGAAAAATCATTTAGGCTTTCAGTAATGGTTCCAACATTCATACTCTGGCTCCTATCTTCAAAATCCATTCAAGAGCCATCAAGAGAATGGTGAATAAGTTTAAAAAAAGAGGGAACAGTAGAAACGAAAAGTGTATCAGACGGTCACAACAGGTTCTAAAGAGATCAATTAGAAAGGATCCAACTCAATCCATAAGACGTTTGGCACGTGGGGGAGGAGTTTCAGCTATAGCAGTCCAAAGACTAGTGAAAAAAACTTGAAATTAAATCGTACGTGAAACGTATGAGGCAACTTGTTACTCCAGAACAGAAAGTTAGAAGGTTAGAGGGACGAAGATCATCTTGAATAAGTTGGAAAATTATCATGGAATATATATATATATATATATATATATATATATATATATATATATATATAATTCTCAAGATGTATATTTGTATGTATGTGTGTGATCGGATGTTGTTTATCCGTTTCCACAGTTTTCATCCGATTTCGATGCGATTTTTTTGTTTGATTCTTCAATGCCGATTTTGAGTCCTGATTACACATTCCCTTCTCTTGGCCAAGCGTCAATCTCTCTCAAGTGAGGTTACCTTTTTCGTGGCATAAAGCCTACCGCTACAGTTCTTTCGTTGTCGTTTATAGACATTCCCAATTTATTTATTTTGTTGTCCTGCCAGTTTTTGTATTGCATTCACAGTAGTAATAAGTAAGCTTGCTTTTTTATTACTCAACATTTATTTTTACAACCTTTCCTAAAGTTATTTGTGCTTAGTGATTCCTGTAGCTTTATAGCGTTCTCTTCTGGTATTTGTAATTTTAGTTGTCTACAACTGTGAAATTACCAGAGATTATTATTATTATTATTATTATTATTATTATTTCCTTTGATTTCTTGTGTGCACTCATTACCTTCCGGGTCCAAGCCAGAGACCTATAGTCAGAAATGGCATCATGGCCTTTTCACTAAACATTTTTTAAGCCTAAGTTCACATACATTTTGCATAGATAAAGTTCTTCATAATGTGCGGGCTGTTCTTGTGGGAATATTTTTTTTTTATTTCTTTAAGGCATGGGCTAACAGGAATCCCTTCAATGAGTGTATCAGAACCTTTTCCAATTAATCCGAGGGCTCCAACTACAAATGGAATTATTGATGTCCTCATGTGCAACATGTTTGAGATTTCCACTTCAAGACCCTTGTATTTTGATAGATTTTTTAAGTTCTTCAAAGATACATTAAAATCAGCAGAGACTGCTATGCAAATAAGAAAGCAAATTCTGTTTTTTCCGAGCTTTGATTGCTGTTTATGTGTGTATTGTAAAGTCTCATAAAAATGTTACAGGCAATCTTACAGATCTGTAACCGGGTTAGTATCGTTTTCTTGGAGTTTCCTTCCCGTAAAAGTTGCAGATTTTCCAGCACAGATGTTGGCCCACCCTATTATGCCGAGTTTTATATTCAGTGGATGCTAATAACATGAAACATAATGCAATATTGTCAATTGCTTCTAGATATTAATCACAAAATCTTCTTTTCGAGTTCACCAAATTTTTCAGTATTATTGTTATTATTATTATTATTATTATTATTATTATTATTTGTGTATGTTATGTTTCCTGCTTTGCATCCTGTAAAACCGGGTCCAAACTATGGTCCTTAGTCCCTATAGGAGAATTGTCATTTAATTGATAGCACTTTTCTTAGTATATGGGATGTTCCTAGTAGGGTGATCTTCTGGACAACTTGTATATGTTGTATTCCGTTTCTTTTATTAATTTCTAATTATTTGTATGTACCATGTTGGTACTTGTTGTTGATGTCAAGGTCTTAATCTGTTAGTTTACCGATTCTTCTTTGATTTCTACAATTCCAACCATTACGTAAACCCTCTTAGAATGTACATTCGTTCGCTTTCTCGGTTCCCGAGTGAGATACTGATATTTTTATATTCTTACATTCTTTTGCCTTCAGACTTTTGTCTACTGGCATTGATACGTTTACTGTTGAATGAAATGTCATCTTTTTCTCAAAAAAACAAAAAACAAAACCACACACAACTTATTTCTATAAATTATAAGAACATACAGCCGCATCATGTTGAAACACCGATTCTCATCCGATCACCGAAGTTAAGCAACGTTGAGCCTTGTCAGTGGCTAGATGAGTGACCGCTTGGGAATACCAGGTGCTCTAAGCTTAGATATGCACGCGATGTAATGGATAACGGAGAAATCGTAGAGTCGAGTTCCAATTCCCATCAGGTTCGTCATATTCACTTACGAGGGGATGGTATGAATCCAGCTCTCCTACTCCCTAGCTATGAGTTAAATATTAGAATTTGTATCAGAAAATTATTATTATTAAGTCAAAAAATATTCGGGCTTTAAATAACCTGCAAAGGGTTGATAGGGTAAAAAAAAACAAAGCAATCCATCAAGAAAAATTATATTTAGTGGATACACACGTTTGAACAGACATCCATTTTTTTTAACACAATACATTTGTTTTAAAAATGTGTATGGTGTGTTAATGTGCCTTTGTGTGTATGTATGATTTTGCGTATATATCTGCGTATGCGTAAATCTGAGTGCAATTATACTTGTGTGCACGTGCATATGTGTATGTTTACATTTGTCTGCGTATATTTCGCGCGTTTTGAATGTGCGTGTGTAGCGACATACGACTGTTTTTCTGAGTTTGCAAGATCAGTGTTTTTGAGCCTGCGTACTCGCTTGCTTATTTTTGTGTCCGGGTCTATCGCGTGCCTGTGCGTGTGTGTGTGTATGTATGTACTTGAGCGCATGCGTGTGTGTTGTCCGTGATGAATTTGCCTGTGTTTAGCACGAGGAGATAAAATAAGGAAACCCCGTTGAGAAGCTAAAAAATCGTTCCTAATAAATCCCATTCCCTCTTTTATGTGCGATTCTCATTAACGCAAGGAGAAAAAAGATTTGAACACCTTTTATGAATCATTACACACAATAAAACACCATGTTTCGTGCCAGTTTGAAATCACTTTCCGCCGATATTTAATTCCCGCTTTAAAAGTGTAACATAAAATACACACACACACACACGCGCGCACACACAATATATATATATATATATATATATATATATATATATATATATATATGATATAAAATACAGTTTTAAGTTATGCTCATAATGGGCAGTCAAATGACAAAATAATGATTTTCCTTCCCAAAAGAAATTTAAGACTGATAATACATTTTTCAATGTAGTCAGTTATTCTAACTGACTACATCAAAAAATTTATTATCAGTCTTAAATTTTTTAATACTAACCAGTTTAAGAACTTGTATTAAAATCTTCATCTTCCCGAAATACTTGGTCAACATTGTCTTTTGTTCGAAGTACAGTTTTTGTTACATACATACATAATGCTTTCTTTCACCAATGATGAGTGCATAAAAAAGAAAAGAATAAAAAAATATAAGCAGTCAATGGCTGATACTTCCTGAAGAGATATTTGGTTAGATGGATGTAAAGCTCAATTACCAAATTAATCTTTTATTGAGTTTTTCAGAAAACGGAAAAATATAACATTTAGCTACAGAGGAAGCGTCCGGTTAGCGAAGTCGAATAACTGTTTTTAAACTACAAATTAGCAATGATTTCTCCCGAACTCTCATATCTGTTTGTATTTATAAAATAACTTATAAACAGAAAATATATTTAAAATAATTGTCAGACTTAGTCCATTTCACACACACACACACACACACACACACACACACACACACACACACACACACACACACACACACACACATATATGTGTGTGTGTGTGTGTGTGTGCGTGCGTGTGTGTAATACGTAAATGCATGCAAACCCGAATATATTTAGTTAGATGGTCTGATAACTATTTAAAGCTCAATTACCCTATTTAACATAAGCATAGCTCACATTCGAACATTTTTATTTTCCGACCCGAGACCACGAGGGATGACCATTTCTTAAATATGATAATTGAGCCTTCCTTTGTTGTATTGTCCTCCCGTAACTTAGTGGTAAAGCATTCCTTGCTTATAAATTTATAGCGAAATTCCCCGATTTATAACTATCTCTGTATATGAAGACATATGTCTCCAAATATTGTCGTAACATATGTGTCTCCAGTATTATATCGTAAGATGCACAAGGTATCAACGAACGCTCGGAAAACAGTATTTATGCAAATTAGATGTTAATTTATATGGATATATTTTGCATGTATGTATTACAGTAGAGAATATTAAAAAATACTGACTTCATTCACAAAGGACGAGAAAACCAAGGAGTGGTTTGAGAATGCTGAGACAAGATGTCGATAACATTGTTAGAGAAAGGATATCAACAACCATCAAGGACTTTTTCAAGTATCCTTATGAATCAGTCTTCTTTTAATCAGATTTTGTGACGTTTCTGAGCACGCTTCATTCATTAGTGGGGAACTTGGCCACTCTTAAAAAATAAGGAGAAATAACCCTACGAATATAATTGCTTGTATCCTTATTGAAGCTCAGAGAACAGTGTCATTATAGTATAAGTTATTCAGATTAATATCCATTGTGAATTTGATGACTGCATTTTAACCGATATGATCTCCAGTTTACATCAATTGAGGAGATGGAGACTGAAAAAAAAAGTAAAAATGCAGAAAAAAAAGATTACGGTATGCGATCAA